AAATAATCCGCTTCCTCCAGGAATCCCTGGAGCTGAGAAACCACCACATGCCTAGTACCTTGCCCAGGAATGGGATGTTTGAGACTGGCTGATAGTTATCCAATACACTGGGATCCAGGGAGGGCTTCTTCAGTAGCGGTCTTATTACTGCCTCCTTTAAGCAACCAGGGATCCTACCCTGCTGCAAGGAGGCATTTACCACTCCCTGTACCCAATTGGCCATACCTCCTCTTGGTGTTTTTATGAGCCAGGGAGGGCAAGCGTCCAGCACACATGTGGTGGCATTCACCTCTCCAAAAATGGCCATATCATCAGGCTGCACCAACTGAAAAGTGTCCATTAAAACAGGACAAGCTGGAACCAAAGTTACATCCACTGGGTCTGTATCAATTACAGCATTCAAGTCAGAGCGGATCCGAGCAACTTTATCTGCAAAGTGTTGTAAAAATTCCTTACAGTGGGTTGTGGAATGGTCAATATTTTGTTCTTTTGGTGGGGCATAGACTAAGCCCCTGACCACTCAAAACAACTCCACTGGACGACCTTGTGCAGATGCAATGGCATCAGCAAATAATCTTAATAACAGGCAATATCAAGAGCATTTGAGGCAGCTAACATCAAGTCTTTCATAAGGGGCGTAGAGTATGCTGATGCAGGCATGACGTTTCCTGTTCTTCTCCACATTCACAAAGGACTGCATTGGTGTGAAAACTCCAGTTACTTACCTTCACTTTGGTTCTGCCAACTCCAGTTTGTAGCCTAAGTGACTTCCAGGTAGCCCAGTTCTCAGTGTGACCAGGGGCCAGACTTTCCTGGTGTTTGATTTACAGTATTTCAAAAGGTGGATAGTTCTTTCTTTTCACTTTATAGTCTTGACTTGCAGCGCTGATGTAATAGTTTGTAACATAGGTATCATGCACTTTTTCAGGTCAGCACATTCCCCTATCTTTTAGATGTTTTACTGCCCTAACTGTCTTGGCTTATTCCAGATACTTAGGTAGACTTGCATATAGCTAAAACCTTGTTCTTCAGAATGATCTCTGTTATTGCTGAGGTAATAAAAAGTGATCTAACTTCTGAAAAGGTAAATATGCTTCAAAATATTTTTATCTCATGAAAGAGATTTTGTCTTCTCTTTAGAAAGTATGTAATTACATATACATTATTTAAATTTCCTGACAGGGAATATTTCTAGAGAACTCATGAATAACCATGTTCTTCACTTTATATGTTAGATAGAGGCTCTCAGAACTGAAACAATTTATTATTCTGCTGCTAAATATCTTAATGCTATGTCTTCCTTTCTGGGTTCTATAGTATTTATGTCTTCTAGTCTTAGAACCATTTACCTAATATTAAAATGATAATCAAGTTTGCCTTTAAATATTCATTGTGGTAAATAGCTCCCAAGTGGAGTTGAAGAATGGCCTGAAGCATTTATTTAGCATGGTAGAAGGATCCAGTTATTGTTAAAATCACTTGAATTCTGAATTTTAATCTAGCTGCTCACTTTACAGGGTGAAGATCTGAATGAGCACTGTTGCCATACAAAATAGAGGGCTGTAGTCCAGTGTGAACCCTATCATTTCCCCCTCCCCGGGTCCTGGTGACTGAGGAGTCCCCTGGCAAATATCCCAAGGGTCCCAGCCTGGTTTGGTCACTCACAGCAGCTTTTATTAAAGACCCAGTCAGCACCTACTGCCTCTTTCCCCCTATTCCCAAGATGTTGAATTTCCAGCACTATCATACGGGCAAAGTTAGGGCCCCGGCTGACTTCACTAAGATCTATGAAAATCCAGCTCAAGAGAAGCAGGTGGAAAGTAAGAGTCCCAATCTGGTGCAGAGTGTTTTCAGGCAGGGCTAATAAAGGTGGATGATGGAGACTGAACTCCATGGCAGTGCTCCTCCTGGAGTCCCTTTTCCTTCACCTGTTTCTGCTTGTGTCTCCAGTGTCAAAGCTGGGTTGAGGTAGGTTCTGTGGCTCTTGGCAGGTGGCAAGGATGTCAAGGCTGGACTGGCCGAGGACTGTGTTGCCATAGCCTTAGGTTGTTACCTCCTTCCACAGCTGAATGGGCTGGACAGGAGGAGGTGGCTCTCCTTATCTTCTATCCCTACATGCACCTCAGCAGAGGCACAGAAGATGTGTCCCCAGTATTTGACTGCCTCCTCTCACATAGCTCCTGCATCTGATGTGGTTAACAATGACCCTGAGTTCTGCAATTTCCACCCTCTTTTTCATGCCATTGTGCCCTCCTCCAGCTGTCCTGCATAGGGCAGTGGCCTTTCCTCCATCTGCAGTGGTACATCCCTACCAGCTGCAGGCCCGGGAAACTCTTTCTCGCCCAGGCTCCCCCGAGCTTGTCGGGCAGGGCCGAATGGCATGCTAGGGAAGCATGGGTTTATGAAAAAGGTTGAGAAATATTACTCTGGTGTTGATTAACGTTTTAAAAAGAACAGCTATTGTCAGTTGGGAGCCCAAGATAGATGCAGTCCTATCAGGCTCTAACAAATTTGTGTGTGTGTGTGTGCATGCGCACATGTGTGCAAAATTTATGGAAAACTTTGCACTCTGTTAACTTCATTCATCAGCTTGAGAAAAGCTGGCTTGTCAGTGCTCTCGGAGACAGCCTTAGGGGAAGTATTTAACCACGATATGGAAATAAGAGATTCCACACACACACACACACGCCTTCTCTTCTGAGGCTACCACAAGTGTGTGGGTAGAAGTTGTCATGGAGCCCGATACTTTTGCAATCTCCATCAGGAAGTTTTCCCAATGGAAAGGAGGTCAAAGAAAGGTTAAATGAAATCTTGGTTCAGATCCCCATGTCTGTGGTGCAATTGTCTTATGGATAGGGGAATGAGGGTGTTAGTGCTTGTGATTCAGCAACAACCTTAAGACCACCATGGACTTCTCCAGGGAAACTCCTCTCAAGAGCTGTGTGGATATGCTTCATATAAAACTAATTTAATCAAACAAGCTGGGCATCCAAGAGAGACTGTTTCAGTGATCAGAAGATCTCATGGTAATGACAAATAATCCTCTCTCATGTCTTTCTCCACTATAGCATGACCAGACAGGCATATTGCTCGCTATTTAGATTGGTTTTGGTGCTGTTTGATTCAAATCAAATTATGGCATCCACACATATTTTGACCTAGAGCGATCCATCCTGCTCCTTTCTAGAGCTGTCCAGCTCCTCTCTGGCACAGTGCTAGGGGTACAGGGTTTTTTTTTTCATTTTTTTCTTTTGTGATTTGTGACTCACAGCACTCTCAATTATCCCATTCTGTAGCCTATGCAGATGGTTAGTTTGCACCCAAACTAGTTTTGGGCAGTGTTATCTGGGGTGAAAACGGTGTGCCATATTTGGTGGATTGTGGAATTGATTTGGATCTGCCCTCCAGAGGTCTCAAAAACAAGCTAGTCTGCATAGTGGGGTGAGCCCCAACTGACAGGTGATCTTTGAAGGTGTGCATTAACTGAGAGGAGGGGGAGCGGCGCTGGGGATGTGCAGTGAAGAAGCAACTCAATGTACGTGGGCATACTGCCCCCTGGTCACTGCAGTTCCCTCTCCATAGCTCATTGCTGCAGCTTCACTGCAGGAGAAGCCTTGAAGGATGATGGAAATGCAGAAGGGAATACAGCCTAACTTCTCCACTGCAGGTCTCCCACATGCAGGGTGGATTCTCTCTGATTGAAGAGCAGGGTGAATTTGATTTAAATAATGATTTAAATTTTAAAAACAATTTTTTAACAATTAAAACTTTTTTTAAAAAACCCAGCAGCATAGGCCTTGGACTGCCTCTCTCCTAATTTGTGGTCCTTGAAAGCAAATGCGCTGGATAAAGCCCAATGGAGAACACGCCCCACCTTTTCATCTACAGTTTTAATTTTTTTTCAAAAAAATTGTATTGACACAGCGCTATTCTAGACACACTGACCATATTATGTGTCCCATGCTAGGTAGATTAATTGCTGTTTTGCTGTTTTGCTTACTTTATTTGACAAAAAAAGGAAGGCTGCTGTGGGTGGCTGAATGATGGCCACCAGAAAAGGTGGTGAATGGAGTGAAAGTTAATTGAAAGGGGGATAAATTGGAGAGATCGAAGCATCTGTCTGAACCCTTCTCATGGGAGAAAAATATGTTGATCAGTGTGAGCAGAAGGATTATTCAAGTGAGAGATAAAATAGATCACACTAAAGCTAAGAACTTTTTAAGAATGAACTAAAGCTAAGAACTTTTTAAGAATGACCAACTTCCTCCAACTGGACGTGCTGTTCGTTTCATCATGAAAAATGATAAATGTGGTAAACTATATTTTGCCTTGACTCAGGGACCCTGTGAGCATGCACATATGGATTTGTCCATAAACAATGGTGCTTTTCTACAATCATGCAGCAGATTAAAAAAAAAACTCTGTTGTACTCTATGCTAGACATGGAGCAATTCCAGAAATTCTAAAATAGTTACGGGTTTATGTATTCATGTGCACATGCACATATGCCATTTTATGTAATAAAGATTTTAATTACAGCAGCAAGTTCCTGTTTTCTAAACCATTTCTCATAGTTCAAGGGCACACTAACAATCACTCATCCTGAGGTTTGCAGCAGTAGAAATTTATTAGTCAATCAATCTGCCATTCTGGCACACACACAATTTAATTTATCTGCAAAGTGCTAAATCAATAATATTAACATTTTTAAAAGCTTATGTGATTGGCCAGCATAAATTTAAAAGCATTGTCAAAGAAAATAAATGTTGGTGAGGTACTAAACTCTATTTAATGCAAAAGGATTTCAAATTTCTGCTCTTTTTTAAAAAAATCCTTGCTGCTTCCTTTACTTCAAATCCCATTCTCCTGCTGATCTTTTTGCCATTTGTGTTCTTACAATGTGTTCTTACATTTGTGTTCTTACCAGTCTTGCACCCTATCTGGGGTGCCTACATTTTCTTTTTGTGATAATGGAATTATTTTTCTATTTCATTTTTCAGACTCACCCAGCAGAGCTGAAATGTCTTGTACAGGCTGGAAGTGAGGAACTTGTCATCATCCTGGAGAGAAATGAGTAAGTAGCTCTAATTTGTATTCCTTGCAGTCTAGTGGTGTTAGTAAGTAGATTACAGAGTTTAAATTGATGGGTTAGGTTTGTAATGTATGGGGAACTATGGCTCAATCTCTTATCTAGCTGTAGAAAAATAGACTCATATAAACTTATTTCTAAGAAATTGTTCCCTCTTCTTTAAAATAAGATGATTCTGTGAAAGTACATGTATAATACAAATATTTGTTTTGGAATTTCTTTATGCATTCTTTGCTTCTCCTTCCCTCACTGTATAACAGACAATTCCATTTTCTTGAACCCATTGCTCTCCTTATTGCTTTCTTTTGATGCCACTAGGGATGGATTTGTTTTTTTTTTTAATGTTATTTTATTGTATTGTATTTTGCTTCTTGGGCTATCAGAAGATCAGAAGGGGCATCAAGGCTTCTTCATTTAACAGAAGTGAGTGAGAAATGAACTGGAGACACACACTGGGTCAGAAACAGGCCAGTCTAAGCAGTGACATCTAGAAATGGAATTTTTGGATGTTATGGACTACAGATACCATAACAGCCAATTTGGGGAGTTCTTCCTATCATATAGACATGTTATAAATACCTCAGTGCTATGCACCTGGCAGACAGGCCTAAATTAGAGGACTTTGAGATATAGTGAGGTCAAACTCTGCCCGAGTGTCCTGCTCAGAAAGAAAGCTCCCAGCTGGCACTGGGCCAGGAATAGGATATTTGGGCGGATCTTGACTCTGCGCTCCTTGAAAGAAAGGTCAGACATGTGTGAAATAAATAAATAATAAGACAAATGTATGTACAGTGGTGCCCCGCATAGCGACAATAATCCGTTCCGAAAAAAATCGTCGCTATCCGGATTCGTCACTATGCGGGGAAAAAACCCCATAGGAACGCATTAAAACATGTTTAACGCATTCCTTTGGGGGGAAAACTCACCGCTATGTGGAAATCCTCCATCCGGCTGCCATTTTCGCTGCCCGGTAAGCGAGGAAAGGGTGTGAAAACACTGCGGGCGCCCATTTTGTTTACCCGGCGGCCATTTTGGAGCCGCCGATCAGCGAATACTTTATTCCCAGCAGGACTCATAATATCTATCAAAGTGCCCATTGCCAGTATCGTAGTGTGTGTGTGTGTGTGTGTGTGTGTGTGTGTGTGTGTGTGTGTGTGTGTGTGTGTATGTATGTATGTATTCTTTTTAATCTAATATAGAAAGTTGAGGTACCTTAAAAAAAATTAAAGAATAAATTCAGTAAAGGCTAATATGTGTATCCTATTGTGTTCATATTGGGATGAGGAAGAATGACAGTGAGAAATCCATGATGTGGTCTTGGCTGGCTTTCAAAAGACTGCTGACCTCTCAGTAGCCTTCGCCACCATAGACATTTGTTGTGGGGTGATGGGTTCTGCAGCCCAACAAGACCTAGAAGGCCACATATTCTCCCTCCTTAGCACTGAAGATACCTAGTCCTGCCACTGGATGTCAAAAGGTCTGAGTGACAAAATAGAATGTAGTAGTCATTTTCAGCTTACAAATGGTTATGCAGACAATTTTTGATATTTTTGGACTGCTTAGGTAAATGTTTCTACATAAATCCAGCTGGTAGCCCCAACACGAATAGAATAATTCAGGCAAAGGAACTTTTTCATGAGGGTTGCTCTATTAAGTTATCATTGATTCAGTGAAAACTTTGCAGATTCAATGAACTGTTGAATTTAGGCCATAGGAAAAAGCAAAAGATTTATATGCTCAGAAGGAAAATCAGGCCATGGGAGCAGAGAAGCTGAAGGGGCTGGAAGAGAACATACGTCAGCTAATCACAGGTATATTTTGGAGCTGCTTAATGGAGAGTGGAATAATAGTTTTTTTTTTAAAAAAAAGCAAGGCAAGGCTGGCAGCAAAGAAGAATGTGAACCTATTCCAAAGGCAGGCAACAGTACATGAGAAAGAAAAATCAAATCATCTGAAAGCCCACCAAAATAGACACCTTTAACAGAATAAGTACACATTGAATTAAACAAATAAGAATGTTAAAAGATCAGTTTAACAACAAAAGCCTTCCCCCATTGTGAAAAAATAGCAGAATAAAATATAAACATGGTGCCACCTCTCCCAAAACCAAGAAATGCAAGCAAATGTATAAAGGCAACATGTATAAACAATGCCCACCCAAATCAAAATGACTAGAATATTGTCAGTTTTCTCCTACCACCACCACCATTTGAAATTGTTGTCTTCTTCTGAGGCCAGCAGCCAGGCAAGCACAGGCACAACATGGAGGGCAACAGGCGCTTGCACACAGATTCCCACAAGAATGACTGAAGCAAAGCACTCCCCTCACTGACTTTCAACCAACCCAGACCCTTTTACAAGGTTTAAAATCTCCACTCTCAGGCTCCTGGATGTTTTGCTTAGCTGCTGACAGCAGCTCTTTCAGTTCTGTTGGATGACACGTTTCCTGGGAAATTTCCTGAGCAATTTGATAGAAAAAGATGAAATAAATGGTAAACAAAGAGGAAAACATTAAACAACACAAAGGTTTCATGTACTCCAACCACTTATGTTTAAGAAGTTGATTTTTGGAAATTGATTTTTAAAAAATATTAAAATGAAAAAAAAAAACCTTTTGTATCCACCCCCTTCATGCTTATATTTTGTACCAAACACAGTAATTTAGCTTTCCATAAGAGAGTGTTTATGGTGTCAGTAACTTATGAAGCTAGAATTACTATGGCTACATAGACTTTATAAATATTGAGTAGCTGTATCAGTTCACCTAGTTTACATTTGCTGGGCATACACTTGAGATGTTCCAGGAATATGTGTAAAACTGTAAAGTGTGAAGTCAACAAATTCGCATTTGAACAATGGTTTTTGCACATTTATGTTTGTTGGTATTTGCAGCACATGGTTGACTATATACTCAACAGGAAACTTGGATTTACCCTTTAAAATCCTTCAACAAAGAGTTAAAGTGGTTTTAGAGTTTATGAACTCAAAACATATGTGCTTTCCTCTTCTCCAACAGAGCATGAGATAATGGCTTTTTGAAGAATGCATTTTCACATAAGAAATGTAAATGGGCTTTTGTGAAGATATTGAAATAACAGTTGAATAAGTGTGGCTGAGATGAGAAAAGAAAATATGATGTACAAGTACTTTTGCCATTTCTGAGGAAACACGTGAAATAAAAATAGACATTTGCGTTCTCTGTGTTTATTGCATGATTGTTTTGTAAAAGCATATTCTTTCTTGTGCAAACTGAGGGAAATAAAACTATACAAATCATAAATTTGTAGCATTGGAAGGGACCCCAAGGGTCATCAAGCTCAGCTGTTGCAGAAGCAGGAAATCCGTTGCTAAAGCAACCATGATAGGTGACCATACAACCTCTGCTTTAAAATCTGCAGTGCAGGAGAATCCACCATCTCTTGAGGTACTCCATTTCACTGTCAAACAGCTCTTACTGTCAGGAAGATCTTCCTAATGTTTAGTCAAAGTCACTTCTCTGTTAATCATGTCTTAGATTATTGATACACACCCCTACAATTATTCATATCTGTCCAAAGCAAATGTTTTCAAAGATTCAACCCATTTGACTAAAACCTTATGCGATTTCAAATGCCGTGTTTTATGTCATATTGTATTTCAAATATGCCAGTTCATTCAGGAGATGATGAACTGATTTTCAAAATCATGTGTGCTTTTTTGAAATGGCCAGTGCCTTTAGGTGCACCAATCAAAACAGTGTCTAGGGAATTTAGGGTATAATCATGCTTCTTAAATTAATTCTTGATTTAGAACTATTTTATATTTTATTTTATTTATCACAGGATCTCAGGGTAAGTTACAAAGCTTTTAAAACAAATTTAAAACAAGATATTTAGAACAATTTAAAATTAAACAATTAAAAACCCAAATTTAAAATATAAAAACATTAAAAACATTTGACTAAAACTTGTGCAGGCCACAATCCTCAGCCTCCAAAGGCTGTAATAAATATGTCTTGACACCAAAATTATGCCAGTATAGTGATGCCTCGCAAGATGAAATTAATTTGTTCTGCGAGTTGTGTCGTATTGTGAAAATTTCGTCTTGCAAAGCGCGGTACTAACGGTTGTGCGATTAAAAAAACAAAAAAGGAAAAAAAATTCATATTGCAAAGCACAGCCATAGAAAAATTTGTCTTGTGACTCACCAAAAAATCGCAAAAAGCTTTCGTCTTGCGAGTTTTTCATTATGTGAGGCATTCAACTTGCAAGGCATCACTGTATTGGCACCAGTCAAGCCAAGGAGAGGGCATTTCACAGTTGGAATGCTATGGCAAGCAAATCCCTCTCCTATGTCTCCACATAATGAACTGTTCTCAATAGTGGACTTAGAGAAGATCTCACCAGCAGATCTTGGTGAATGGGCAGGACTATATAGGGAGAGGCACTCCTTCAGATATCCAGGGCCCAGCTAGACTGTGATGCAACTTAACTGAGAGTAGACCAAAAACACTCCCCACAAACTCTCTGGTACAAAAGTTAAATTGCTGTTCCTGCAGTTCTCCTGGTATTGTGCTTCACCTTTTAAGTAGGTCACATACCGTCCTGCCTTATTATTTTATTTATTTTTATTTATTTTATTTATATCCCGCCTATCTGGTCGGGTCAGGACCACTCTAGGCAGCTAACAACATAAAATTATTTAGTACCCCAACTGTCATCCTTGCAGGGCTTGATGTGGACTTCAATACACTTCTAGCTTCATTTTTGTGGGCGACCCTTAGTCTAAATAAGTATTGCAGTACTTTAAAATGTCTTAGAAACATTTGCTGCGTGGCCTTTTAAAGTCAGTACTTCATTGACAAGTTATGAAATAGAAATGTTTGCTCATGCTAACCTTCTCCCTGCTTAACTGTTTTACATGACATGAAGATTATGGGCCAGCATTAAGCAAGTTAGAGGAATTTGTTCTCATAAATGTCATAATAGGAGTTATGTATCTGGGTC